CCTTGCTAACCATTCGTCTTAAAGTGCTCATTCTGTCTAGAGTACTAATGAGACTAGGAATTATGCTTTGCTGTTGCGCTATTGAAATATCCCATCTTTCATGCCGCCTGTTCATCTGTGGAACCACATTTGATATATTGTTTTGTAGACAGAAAAAGTTGATCTGGAGAATACAGTTGTTGACGAGAGCCAAAGACAGAATGATCAAATGACATCCTCTATGGCAACTCAAGACAAGTTTAGCGGTATGCATACTTTTTCTGCCGAACTACATCACTCTTGCTATCTGTACTTTAAGCGTATTATTACTATCAATCGGCTGTAAAACTTCAAATTTGAGTTTCAGAAGGTACATGTAGTCATGAATTCTTATCTTCAGCCCTAGAAGATTGCAATTTCATTTGAATAGTTATCCGAAACATGAGATTTTTATGCAAAATGATCAATTATCTAGGTTTTCTCGTGCATCAAGCATTCCTATCATCATTGATGTTGTTTTGGTATCCATTTGTCTTCTCTCTAGTTAGTTCCTCAGGAAAGGTTAATTAAGAAATTAAATGCTTTTGCCTTTAATATTTGAGTCTGTTTACATTGCTTATGTTTGATTGTTCATATGTGCCCCTTTCTTCTTTTTCTGTTTGTGTTGCAAAAGTTAATGTACCCAAACTATATATATTTATCGCCTTGTCCTAAAGAATATGTAATGTGATTTCGCTACTTCACATTTCTGATTTTCTTCCTCAGAGGCCAGTGCAAGTGGATCTGATGATGATAATGAAAGAGTAGATGCTGCTGAGGAGGAAACTGACGATGAGGAGAATACCTTTTTCGATACCCGTGACTTCCTCTCATCAGGTTCTTTCAAAAGCAATGGATCTGATTACCGGACTTCTTCATTTTCTTCAGAAGATGAAGGACTACGCGCTCTTGAGGCAGATGAAGGGCTTAGTTATCCTTATATTAAGCGCCGTAAAAAGTTACCAGATCCAATTGAAAAGGAAAAAGGTGTCAGTCTTTGGTCAATGATTAAGGATAACATTGGGAAGGATCTCACAAAAGTATGTCTACCTGTTTACTTCAACGAGCCTCTCTCTTCTCTTCAAAAGTGTTTTGAAGATTTGGAGTACTCGAATCTCATTGACAGAGCTAGTGAATGGGGAAGAAAGGTCAGTTTTAGTTTATCTTTTCTTAGTATAACATCTTCCTTCTTAGGATGTCCTCGTATAGGAACCATAAGGAGTTGAGCTTTCTGTTTAGTGATGGATTGTTTCTTTTCACCTACCATGATATCATTTAACATGATGCTACTATACTACTTTTAAGGTAGTTATGCAATTTAAAGCATGTGACTCTAGCTGTTAATCGGATATTCTCATTTACAAACATCCAGTTCATTTCACCAACTCCAATTGTCCTGCATTTCTGAACTGTCAATTTTCACTAGTTCAAAGGGATACTGGAAACTTCTTATAATTTCACCTCATGTCATGTGGTTATTTGTCAGCATAGTTTAAGTCTGTACCTAGCATTCATCATTCCTTTTCGCTTTTTTCCTTCTATACATAATATTGGTGTTGCTTGTTGGGTGAGTATTGATATGTTAGGCTCCTTCAGTGAGGAAATATGCATCTCATGGGTCATTTCCTTGCCAGGGTAACAGTCTGATGAGGATTCTTAATGTAGCTGCCTTCGCTGTTTCTGGATATGCTTCAACCGAAGGAAGAATCTGCAAACCGTTTAATCCACTATTAGGTGAAACATACGAGGCAGATTATCCAGATAAAGGACTCCGTTTTTTCTCGGAGAAGGTGAAACTCGTTCATTGTTTCATATTTCTATTTAGCAGCAATCTCAGTTCAGAGTTTCTGTTTGTTTCATAGAACAATCAGAATGTGGATGGTTTTCTTTTCATTCTCTGTCTTCCGATCTTTTCACATTTTAGTAGAAGCATTCAAAGAGCAGTGTAGTCCACGTTCAACACTTCTTTTGATTTCCTGGTTTAATTTGGTGTTATAAGATTGAGGAAAAAGACTAACAAAATGTACAGTAAGGGAGTTCTTTGCAACATTCGGATTGAACTCTAAGGGTCACAAGGCATAATCTTTTTCCTCTCTTCCTCTTGGACAATGACATATTTCTCCCCTTTTAAGTCTTCGATAGTAGGTACATTGTTCATCTGTTTGATGAAGAGCAATGCCAGTATCAGTTGTCTGTTACTTTTTCTCCAGGTCAGTCACCATCCAATGATTGTAGCATGTCACTGTGAAGGGACAGGATGGAAGTTTTGGGGAGACAGCAATTTGAAAAGCAAATTTTGGGGTCGCTCTATACAACTTGATCCTGAGGGTCTTTTGACATTGGAATTTGATGACGGAGAAGTTTTCCAATGGTCCAAGGTAAGTCAAGAACACTGATAAAATATATCCTGTTGGAATTCGGTAGACAACTATACTTGTTTGTAAGTTGTGAATTGGATGTCTCAACTCTCACGTTCGATTGCAGGTTACAACATCAATATACAATCTAATACTAGGGAAGCTATACTGTGATCATTATGGTACAATGCGTATAGAAGGAAACAGAGATTTTTCGTGTAAGCTGAAGTTTAAGGAGCAATCCATCATAGACAGGAACCCTCACCAGGTATGAACTTCGAGACTTTTAAAACATACAAATCAAGTGAGAACTTGGTTATAAATCAGTTAAACTTTCTTTGGGTTCACAAGTATGAGAAACTTGGACGTGCCCTCAGTTTTAACTTTGGATAGACTGGCTTCTTTTTCGTTTTGCATATTAAAAGAAAAAATAGACACCAAAATGTCGGACAATTGATTTTACATATGTTATTTATTGCTTTTTTCCCGACAGATACAAGGAGTAGTAGTGGATAGGAGTGGGAAAACTGTAGCAACTCTGTTTGGGAAATGGGATGAGAGCATGCATTATGTTCTTGGTAGTGGCAAGGGCAAAGGGTTTGAGTCACTGGAAGAAGCTCATACACTGTGGAGAAGAAACAGCCCACCAACGATCCCTACTAGATATAACTTGACCCGCTTCGCCATAACACTGAATGAGCTCATTCCTGGGCTCAAGGTGATATCTCATGACTCTGCTCCATTCTACAAGTTCTGCTGGTCTCCACTTCCTGACAAATTGAAGGTGTCGGGGGGTTGTCTGACGGGGTACTTTTTTCCCTTCCCCTTTTTCTTCATTATTATGTGCAGGAGAAGCTGCCACCTACAGATTCAAGGCTAAGGCCTGATCAAAGGTATTTGGAAAATGGGGAATTTGAGATGGCGAATTCTGAGAAGTTGAGGCTGGAACAGCGCCAGCGTCAGGTAAAGATAAAACTGCAATGTGAATCTCTCATTGAATCAGAAGCTGGGAAGGGAACCCTGTGATGGTTTATCCTACTCGTGTAACGTGATTGTAAATGTATATAGAAGATCGATTGATATGATGATGGATGTTGTTTAATGTGTCTATGCTGTGCAATTTATTTTTGTCAGTAAACATAGTATGCCAATGTCGTGTGCCTGGTTTGGTTGTGCTAATCAACATCTCGGGTTTTGCAGGCACGGAAGATGCAGGAGAGGGGTTGGAAGCCGCGTTGGTTTGCCAAGGAAGACGGAAGCGATACATATCGCTACATTGGTGGATACTGGGAGGCTAGAGAGAAAGGGAAGTGGGACTCATGTCCAGATATTTTCGGTCAAGTCCCCGCTGATCAGCTTCTCATTGACTAGTTACTTATCTGAATTCCTTTCCATTGCTTGGGAATGGCCTACGGGTCGTCGGTATATGAAGGGGGGAGTCACTCGACGTGCGATGTAAGTAAAGAAAACTATTGCCCTAGGTAAATAGAAAGGAAAAAATCAGTTCTTTTTCCCCTCCAGTTCCGCCAAATGCGCCCCCATTCCTCATCTCATGGTTAGAGCTGGAGGGATGGCAGGGGAAATATGTTACATTTTTTTGTGTGGATGTTTTAGCTTCTTTTTCCAGAAAAGATACAAGAGGAATAGATGATAGGAAAAACAACAAATGAATCGACCGCATTTGATATGTTCTTAAATGAGAAAAGAAAGGAAGAAAACAGTTTGTTATCATATTGTAATGCTTGTTTGATGGAAAGAGATAGCTAAGCTAGCTGCTGTTTACAGATCAGCGCTCAGCAGTGGGCCTGACAATGATTTTGTGTGTGTTCTTCGACGGATTCATTCACATGGCAGAAGTCTGGTATTTCCTGTTGATGATTGGAATGTTTAGGCAAGAGCTTTACGCCGATCGACACACACATGTTGCCATTAGGGCGTTCCAATTTGTCCCTCCCGCCGCCCCACGCACGTTTAAACTGTTGAGTTTGGGACTTGATAGAAATGCTCACACGAGAGCACGATCGACCGGGCCTTTTGCATTGATCACGTTTGGGTTTTGATTATCTTGCATAGGGCACGGCACACCCACCCAGGATGAAGTTCTGAAAAATCACGTTTAAACCATAACTAAATGGTCAATATTAGTGATGACAATGGGTTGGGTTGCAGCGGGAGGATTCCTCAATATCTATACACGCCTTGTACTAAGTGAGAGTTTTGGCGGGTAATCTCTTGCGGGTTTGGGGCGGGGTTGGTCAACCTACTCTTACATGTAATTTGAAAAAAATGGTATTAATTGCAAGGATGGTCATTGGGTTTGCTAAAAATGTTCATGTTTGGTCACTGCAAATATTTAATTTCATTCATGGTCACTAAGATTAGTTCAATTTTTCAAGTTTGGTCACTCTCTGTTAGTCTCCGTTAGTTTTTGTTGATGTGGCAGTCAACTATTATAGTTGACCGCTAAATGAGTGACTTGCCCATTAAAAAAAAATATTAAAATAATAAAATTTAAATATTTCAAATTTCACCTTATTTTACAACTATTAAAAAAATAAAAATAAAAATTAATAGATGGCTTCCGCCATCTACGCCACCGCGATTCTGATCCCTCCTCTTTCGTATTGTGCTGGGGTTTTAGTGAACTGGGTTCTTGTCCTCTTGATCGATTATGCACATTCTGAATTTTTCTTCTTCTTCTTATTGTTTACTTTAGGTTACCCGAAAGATGCTTATCCACCACCGGGATACCCTGTTCAGGGCAGCCATGGACAGAAGTTCCCTTCCCAAATTAAGCGTAGCAAGAAACAGCCATAGACAAAGCCTCTTTCTTAGCTTCACCACCGCCTGATTCCTAGTTGTTCCACTACACCGACTCCACCGCGTTGTTAAACCCACCGACAACGGCGACGACGGATTCCTTGAAATGCCATCATCAATTGCAGTACAATTTCCATCAGCAAGGACAGGAGGAGGGTTCCTTCGGCGGTGATTACATGGGCTGCGTTTTGAACGGGTTTCACGGAGGCGGCAGTGAGGGTGGTGGGTTAGGGGAAGTGGCGGAGATGAGTCGGAGCCCTTCTTCTTCCGTTAAATTGAAACCCGACCCGGGTTTCTGCTGGGCCGATTTGGTTCCGGTTGAGAATCATGTGAACAGTTCGCCAACGACAACCGAATCGTCCTCGCCGCCGGCGATGGAGACGCCGGCTACGGTGGAGGTAATATCCACCTCAGGGTTATCCTCCCCAACAACAATACACACAGCAACAATATGCTGAGCAACCACCCAGGCAACAAAAAGAAGTTGGCTTCCTTGAAGGATGGTCTGTTTCCCTTCCTCCCTTTTACTTTCTCCTTCCGATTACTCACCCGCCAATATTCGAAGGAGCATGGATCAGAATTGCGGTGGCGTAGATGGCGGAGGCCATCTATTAAGTTTTGTTTTTATTTTTTAATAGTTGTAGAACATTTTTAGTAAATCTAGTGACCATCCTTGCAATTAACCCGAAAAAATTGCAAGCAAAATTTCACGTTCTTCGGTAAAATAAAGGAAATACTTTATGAATGAAAAAAGTGATAATAGAACGATTAATTGAGTCTAACTTGTTGAAAGATCAAGTTTAACTATTCGAAACTAGTCAAAATAAGATAGATGTTGCACATGGACGGGGTGGTGCAATTATGGAGGAGATTCGGGTGGCTGTGTCTTCCTTTTCGGTGTTTTCTTGTACTTTTACTCCTCGCAGGTACAACAGGGCTGCCCATTTAGTGGCACAAAAGGCCCTTTCATCGGCAGTTCGACTACTTGTCGACTGGCGCGTTTGGTTGTGTACTGTTCTCTGACTATTTGATTAATCTATCTATGCAAAAAAAAAAAAAAAAAAAAAAAGATAAATGTGAATATATATATTGTAAAAGATGGAGGTTGGAGACTTCAATGTAACCCTTAATGAAAACGAAAAAGATGGATCCTTCATCTTCCCTATGTGGTTATTGGAGAATGGAGACTTCAATGTAACCCTTAATGAAAATGAAAAAGATGGAGGCAACCAGTGGAATGCCTCCCAATCAGTAGATATTTGAAACTATGTTCAGAATCTGGGTCTACATGATCCGGGGCATCAGGGGATCCTTTTACCTGGACTAACAAACGTATGGGGTTGGCTTGTATTCGTGAAAGGCTTGACAGAGCTCTATGCTCACAGACCTGGATTGATCGATTTCCTGACACTCTGGTCAAGCACTTCACTGATCAGGGATCTGATCATCGGGCCTTGCTTCTCTCAGATAAGCCATATATCCGGAATAGTCGCCCTCTGTTTCGCTTTGATGCACGTTGGGCGGAGAATCCGGAAGTTAAGGCAATGGTGACATACGTTTGGTAGGAGACACTCCAAGGTACTCCTATATTTTAACTCTAGGAGAGGCTTAAGCATCTCCGACACCTGATCTATGACTGGAGTAGAGCAGGCACAACCAATTCCTTGCATAATATCCATACCTTACAAGCTGAAATTGATCGGATCAAACTCATTCATCCGATTAATTGGGATGAGGTGAAGCTCTTGGAAGCCGAGCTAAGTCGACAATGGGCAGCAGAGGAAATCTATTGGCAACAAAAATCTCATGTCCGATGGTTAAAGAAGGGAGATAAAAACACTTCTTATTTCCACACGGTCACGAGGGCATGTAGAAAGCATAATTTTGTTCCAGGGCTTCACAGTGATACTGGGGATTGGATTACAGAGGAACACGGGAAAACGGATATCGCTGTTAATGTCTATCAGCATCTGTTCACCTTGAAGAATCAAATACAAAACATGGCTGAGCGCGTGGTGAATCTCCCCGTTGCTTCCACTGTTGCTCCGGATATGAACGCTAATCTTACGGTTGAGGTTCTCTCTAGTGAAATCCGTCAAACGGTATTCTCGATGGGATCAAAACAGGCTCCTGGCTCTGATGTCTTCACGGGGAAGTTCTTTAAAGTTTTCTGGGGTATTGTAGAAGACTCGGTCGTTGAAGCAGTCGGCTCATTCTTTGCTACAAGAAAGATGCTACGAAGCTATAATCACACCTGGCTAACGTTGATCCCAAAGGTGGATCAAGTAGAAATCATGCGCCAGATTCACCCTATCAGTTTATGCCAGTTTGTGTATAAAGTGATCACTAAAATCATGGCAGAGAGTCTTGCTGTTCTATTGAACCAAAACATCTATGAAGGCCAAAATGCATTTATACGTGAGAGACAAATTGTTGAAAATATCTTCCTAGGGCATGAGTTAATGATTTACCTATAAAAAAAACACGCGGTAAGAGAGGATATATGGCTCTAAAGGTTGACATGGAAAAGGCCTATGATAGAGTCAAATGGTCCTTTCTACTTGCGGTGTTAGAGAAGATGGGGTTTAACTCTGTTCGGAGAGGATGAATATATGAATGCTTGCGTTCTACAACATTCTCTGTCCTCATGAATAGTACCCCTTCTGGTTTTTCTCTCCCTCCAGGGAACTCTAGCAAGGGGATCCTCTTTCCCCTCTTCTCTTTGTGATTTGCACGGAGGGGTTTGCAACTCTCCTTTGGAAAGCCATTTCGGAAGGCTAACTGGAAGGAGTTAAGGTGGCCCCTAGCCCCCCTCCCCCCCCCCCCCCCCCCCCCCCCACAGGTATATCCCATCTATTCTTTGCTGATGATTCTTATCTATTCCTCAGAGGATCCCTCATGGAATGTGAGGATTTAATTGAAATGTTGAACGAGTATGAAGAGTTGAGTGGACAGAGGGTAAATATAAATAAATCGGCAGGCTACTCAAGCAAGGACATTGCTCTGCCAGATCAGGATTTCTTGGCTGCAATATTGGGTGTTGGGGCGGCGGGGGTCCAGGACAAATACTTGGGGCTCCCTACGCTGACTGCCAGATCAAAAATGACAACTTTTCGCTATTTAGAGGAGAAATTGCTAGAGAAGCTTCAGGGATGGAAACAACGGACTTTATCATGGGCTGCAAAAGAAACCTTGATTAAGTCTGTTGCGTTAGCCTTGCCTCTGCATGGTATGTCATGTTTCAAACTACCTCTGTCCCTTTGTCGTCTCCTGGACAAGCATGTCGCCCGTTTCTGGTGGGTGTAGAGGAGGGGCAGTCCTGTATTCGTTGGATGTCATGGCGTAATATGTGTCCAATCAAGCATGATGGGGGAATGAGTTTTCATCGAGTTGAGCATTTTAATCAGGCCCTCTTGGCCAAGGTTGGATGGCGAATTCTGAACGAAACCCATTCTATTTTATCCCAGGTCTATAAGGGGAAGTACTTTCCCAATGGATCCTTCCTAATGGCTACGGATCATGCCAGTCCTTCATGGGGATGGAAGAGCATCCTCTTTGGGCGCCAACTGATAGAAATGGGTTTAAATTGGCAAATCAGGAATGGTCAGAAGGCCTCTCTCCTCAATTCCAAATAGATCCCTCAGAACCACCCTTGTATCCCGATATATAATCCCTGTGTGAACCCTGTGGAAGGGGACTTGCCGGTGGCAGAGGTTATCTCTCCAGGGGAGGGGCGATGGTGTGACCTTAACCTCAACCAATGGTTTGACCACTCCACCTATCAGGCTATTAAATCTATCCCCTTACCCAGACAGAATATTAAGAATCGATTGATTTGGCATGCTACTACAAATGGTGAGTTCACTGTTAAGTCAACATACCACTTTGCGGTTCTCCCTAACCAGCAGAAAGGGCGTTGGAGGTCCACTGCTAGCTGGATGGATCAGACGAGCTGGATCCGGTTGTGGGATGTGAATATTCCTCCCAAACTAAAAATGTTCGTCTGGCAAATTTTTAACAGAATTTTACCCACAACTGAAGCTCTGATTGAGAACAAGGTCGAAGTGTTCCCTATATGTCCGGTGTGCTGGGCTGATTCGGAGACAATGGAACATCTATTTCTGGATTGTCCAGTTGTGTGTTCCCTCTGGTATGTGACTGCTTTGAGTACCTTGGGGAAAGTTTGCCGATGCATACTTTCCCACTTTTTGTGAAGAAGCTGTTATCATTGGTACGTCAACCACTTTTGGTTATGGCAGTGATTGTTGTCCTCTGGCATATTTGGCAGTCTCGTAGCTGGGTCGTCTTTGAAAGAAAATAGTTCGGGATACCAACCCTAATGCGTCACTATAACCACCAGGTTCAGGAATGAGTTTGTCTGCTGGTGGACTGTGTCCCCCAGACCTCCACTTTCTCCACCCCTTCTTTGGCCCCTGTCGAGTCAACGGTGGCTATTTGTATATGGGATGAGCTACTAAAAGAGCATCTCACTCAGCAGGTGGGATGGTTATCATGACTCCCACTATGGAGATCCTTCCTGTAAGGGGGATTCAGTTCATTTACATTGATGACCTGATAATGGTGGAGTTACTTACCCTCCGTGAGGCTATTGGTCCTTAGGCCAAGGCTTTACGGAAATGAGACTCGAGGGTGACGCCCAAGTGGCGATTGGTAAAATTTTGCGGGGCGATACCAGAGATAACCTAGTCGGAACTATTCTAGAAGAGGTTGTGCAACTTCTTGGTTTGAACGTGGGGTTCAGTCTGCGATTTGTAGGTCGGAGTAGCAATAGAGTAGCTCATGTGGTTGCTAGAAAGGCCCTATCATTGTACCTGACTACATGTCGTTCCTTTGATTTTCAGGCCTGACTGAATTTCAGGATGTAACTATCTTTGTTTCAATGAATATATAATTATCTTTTGTTAAAAAAAGAATATATATATATATATGTTGTAAGAAATTAGAATGGGTCAGAGAGGAGTAGGGTGGGGCGTATGCCACATGCTATTGCGGGTCGGGTAATACACATCCTATCGTAGGTTAGGTGGGGTAATACCCGGCGTAGCGGGTTCAAATTGCCATATCTAGTCAATATTCAAAACAAAAATCAACTTTATTTACAAATTCAATCTTTTCAATAGCTCAAGATTTTTGTGATTTATATTGAATTATGATTAGCGATGACAATGGGGTGGGGAGGGTATCTCAATACCCTTATATTCCCTGCACTAAGTGTGGGTCGGGCCGGATAGTACATGCGCCAGTACGGGTCAACCCATTATATATTATTTGCGAGAAGAACATTACTATTTAACTCTTTTACAAGAAGATGTAGAGAAAACACTTCATAAATAAATGAAAAATATAGTAAAAGGAATAATTGAGTGTAAATAGTTGAAAAACCTTAAGATGAAAATATGATTTTAGAAAGATAAAAGAGGACGAATATGAGTAGATACTAATTCAAATAATAATAGAACGAGTCAAGAACGTGACGGGACAGACGTGACAAGTCGAAAACATTACCCATCCCCTTAGTGCTACTGCTGATCAGGTAGTGCCCGACCCAAATAAGTCGGGACAATGTCAAGTTGCATGGGTCAAATCAGAAATTGACATCACTAATTATGATCCTATAAATTTATGTGTTATTATTGTTGTTAATTGTTAAGTGAGTTATCTATCATTCAAACTAAAGTTCATAAACGATGAAAACTGCTATTTCATTCATTATAGTGCAAGC